TTTTAACATGTGCATATTTACGTGGTAGAGCCATGCTGCAGCTATATTATGGTTGTAGCACGAATGGGTCGGCTCGACCGGGGAAGGACCACGCTCTCACAGAAAACCAGCGTAAGATAGCAGCTTAACGCTGCTGTGTTTCGTATGGTGAGTGTAGAGAACCGGAGACCCTTTTTACTGGCAAAGAGGCATTCCATCTTAGTCCTCACGGGTGACAACGCATCTGCATCTTGAGTCTTTATTGAGGATAGATGTAGATGTCTATGGGTCACAGTAACCACTCACCATCAGGTGGACTGTGTGCTCGTTTGTCACCCGATCCTATAAAAAAAATGTGCCAGCTATTTCACCCATTGCTTGCATCTGAAAAAATAATATAAATAAAATCACATTTTTATTGAACAATTAGAATGTTAGCAGCCACAATTGACTGTGGTTTCTAAGTATAGTTCGTTTCGGATTGCCACACCATCGAACTATCAGATTTAGGAAATTGTGTGTTTGTATTTGTGCACACAATCGTACACTATAAAAACCTGTCCTACGTAGATGGCTAGTCCAAAAATGTACTCGCGTTAAATATCATATTACTATTAAAGTTGAAATCACCACATACCCTTCATCATCTAAGGGAAATATAGCTACAAATAGCCTTTTCTTGTTATCATTTTTTGCGCTTCTTGCACTATTTAATTGCAAAGTTAAAAATTGAATATGCATTATAAGAATATTCCATCCTCGCCTGGGGCCTTGCCGTTTTTAAGGTGCTGGAGAGCCAATCTAATCTCGCTCAGACTGACGTCCGGGATATCATCGGAATAATGTCGGATAAGACTCGCTCTTGGATCGTTACTCACACTTGCGTGCGGCTCCAACGATGACGTGTACAGCTTCCCATAGAACCTCTCAATCTCACTCAAAATCTCAGGTGCCCCGGAAACGATGCTGCCACATTCGGTCTTCAGCTTTGACAGTTGGCTCTTTCTGGCAGACAGATCTCTGGCAAAGACTTTGGAGCCTTGGTTCCGCTCGATCGCCTCTTCAATACGAGCTGTATTGAAGTTACGTAAGTCCCGCCGCATGCATTTGGAGATCTGTCTGTTCAGTTGCCTGTATGCTGTCAAATCTGTTGAAGAATGTAGCTTCATCTCCCGTCTAACAGCCATGAGATTATGAGTGTGATCGGAGAGTTTTTGTGTTCTTCTGCGGCGGGTCTTACAGAACTTAGCTCCGACCGCATGGACAGTTTCCACGAGCTTGTCATTCAAATCGTCCACTTAATTGCAGTCTTCTAGGCACTAAAAACGGTTTTGTAACTCGAGCTGAAAGGTTTCGGGACTTTGGATTAGAGCACGATGGGGACGGAGCGTTGACTTCATTAGACGAGACCTCTCCAACTTAATGTTTAGGTTCAGTGTGCCTCTAACCATTCGGTGATCGCTGCCGGTTTTCACCCTCGCGATCACTGAGACATCACTGAACAGTTGTCGTCTGGTCGTCATAATGAAGTCAATCTCATTTTTTGTCGAACCGTCGGGGCTCGTCCAGGTCCACTTCCTGTGAGGCCGCTTCTGGAAGAAAGAGTTCATCATAAAGAGTCCCTCTTTCTCCATGAAGTCGGCCAGCTGCTGGCCCCTTGGGTTCCGTTGCCCTATTCCAAATTTCCCCACTTTCAACTCACCGTTCTCTCTTGTGCCCAGTTTTGCATTGAAGTCTCCCATTAACACCGTATATTGGGTTTTGGATGAATGCATGGCTCTAGAGATATCCTCATACATTTCCTCCACCTCCTGATCGGGGTGTGCCGAGGTTGGTGCGTAAACATGGAGAGGGCTATGCTCGGAGTTTCTTTGCGTGATAAACTCAGAAATGAGGATATCCGCAGTAAAACCAGAGTGACCGACATAGCCCAACGGATTAGTAAGCTAAAGTGGCAATGAGCCGGCCATATAGCTCGAAGAACCGACAACCGATGGGGAAGAAAGGTTCTCGAGTGGTAGCCTCGTACCGGAAGGCGATGTGTAGGGCGTCCCCCCACTAGATGGAGTGACGACCTGGTAAGATATAAAGGAAGTCGATGGATGCAGGTGGCTCAGGACCGTGTTTTGTGGTATTCTTTGGGGGAGGCCTATGTTCAGCAGTGGACTTGTGAAGGGCCGTAATGATGATGATGATGATGATATAAGAATATTTAATTTTTTAATAATTCTGTAAATGAACAACGGCTCCTATAGCAAAATTAAAAGCAATCTTAATAAATCAAATATATATATATATATATATATATATATATATATATATATATATATATATATAAATATAAATAGAATTGTTTGATTTAACATTTGAACCTATTTGATTTGACAATGTCGTTAATTAGACATATTACGAAAAGCAGAAAGAAGAGACAACCGTCATTAAAATTTGACCCCTGTAGTACATATAATTTTTACTATGGAAGTTGCACCAGCCTGGTGATAGACATACAGCAGAGCCACTGAGGCAGTTTTTACATTTTAATATTTTATTTGTGATATTGATTAAAGAGAATATAATCACTATCTAATAGCCGTTTCGTGAAATGAAAGCTTGATTAGCTTGTTTGGTGTTACCGTTTCGTTAAGATTACTGTTATCGACATTTTAGTGTTTAGAAGATTTATATTAAAATGAAATTGCCTTCATGCTTTATCCAGGTTTAGGACTGGCTGGTGACGAGTTAATTACGTAACAATGAATACTTAAGTAAAATTTTAAATAAAATAATAATACATATATACAATTGTATTCTCTTCTTATCTTACAACAAATATTATTATTGTTGCTCATAACTAAATCTACTATATTAGCAATTGCGCCTAAAAATCAAACACTAGACAAATTTAGACTGGGTCAAGGCCACGCAATTCGAAAACATTTGATATTTAAAAACATGCACGCTTACTTTCTCATTTCTAATATCATATTTATCCGAAGGTAATAGTCATAGGTGAAATGCAAAAGCAATATATGAATAGTTGGAAGTGAAAGAGACAAAACGCGTCACCCGCGCTAGGGATGGGCAAAGGGAAAAAATATATCGATATGTATCGAATCTATATTTTTATACAGTATCGATATGTATCGAGTGATAAATATCGATATATCGATATATCGTCATTTGAATGATGTAAAGATAAGGTCAAAAATTTTTTTTACTGACGGTTGTAAGACGAAAGAAACGATACAACATTTTAAAATATATCGAAATTGATACGAATTCGATACTCTAAAATAAATATCGATATATCGAGATCTAAAATATCGACGATATATATCGATACTTTTATTAAAAAATATCGATATTTCGATATATCGATATTTTTTGCCCAAGCCTAACCCGCGCACAATCGACTTCGATGGCCGGTGGTTGCCAATGCGCCGCGAAAATAGCTGATAAACGAATTGGTATGATCGTAAAATCATGTTATCGAGTTAAACGTGTACTGTAATAGATAGTTTCGTTGGTATGCAATAATCCGCTACCCGCTATTGTATCAATAGATGGTTTCAATAACTGGTTACGTTTTGTAACGACCACTCCTATTATCTATAATCTATATGCGTATTGCGTAGTATACATCGATCACTAATAAAAAACTAGATGCACAGTCCCATACAAAAGTTCTCTAAAAACTGTCGCCAAATGTTTTGACGTAATTCTAGTTGATATAAATATACATTAATGTAAATTCAATCTTAAGTGATATGCTTAAAGTTGTATTCACAAAGCAACGTACAAAAAGCAATAAAATTTTACGACCGAGGCTCTTCGCTTGGACTAGGAGAGAGGAGTCGAACTGCACAATATTTTTTGTTACTGTAATTATAATTTTATAATTTTTTTAAACTTGTTTTAAATAATTGGTCTACTTAATAAAACATATTCTATTCTATTCTATGGTGTATATGTGTAATGGTTATATTATTACCTGAATGTAAACATGCTTTTGTATAGGGCACCACATTCATTTAGTAATGAAAATAATTGAAACAGTCATAATTATTTATTTATTCTTTATCTTGTGTGAAAAATTTAAAGATATTGCTTGACAAACAAGTTAAATCTAAATATAATAGTTACTAAATATAAAAAATAAGTACAGAAAATTCTTGCAAAATCTAAGAAAATTATTGTCCAAATTTTGACGTAATGTTCATATTTACAGATGTTTAAAAAAACGGATAAGACTGAATAATTATAATGATTTCTTATATTTACGCGTTCACTTCACATTTAAATGAAACTAGTTTTACGGATTTTAACGCGTATATTAATTTATTTTATATTCAGTAAAGAACTCTCATTAAACAAAAAAAAAATACAATCATACTTTATTAACAAAAAAAAAAATAAAAAAAAAACAATAGCGTTTCCACAAATGGAACAGAATCAACGCATATACCTCGAACAATGACGACTTATTTTATTACGACTTAATTTAAAAAATACTTTTTCGATGATTTCTTGACAAAATATCAGTATTTACAATACAGTTATAACAATTAAATAATGTTAATATTAATATTTACCGAAAATATGAAATTCCACCCTTTTTTAGCGTCCTGGATGTGTGCTTTTTACACTTTTTAAACGAGCGCTGAGGCATGTTTACGGTCGGAACATTAGAATCGGTTACGCCATTTTTTGTCACTGATTGTGTATCTAGTTTTTTATTAGTGATCGATGGTAGTATAGTATCCACAACCTCGGTTGACAGATTTCGCATGATTGGGCTCTCTTTTCCTGTATAGGACAGTTGCTATACTCTTTGGTATCCATTAAGTAGTCTGTGGTCTGTGCTATTGATAATTGAATTTAAGGCTGAGAAGGGCTAGAACCCAGAGCCGTAAAGCCAGTTTAAAAAAATATTGAATTCATTTTGGCGCATGGGATTTTGTGCTTTTAAAACCAAAATAATTGTAATTTTTGTTATATTGAATTAACTTTAATAGTTCACTATGGAAGAAAATGTCGCATTGGATTCAAAAAAACAAAAACAATTCGTAAAGTCTTTAAAAGGACTGAAAAAATTGATGAAGGTAGTATATTCTTAAGCCTAGCAAAAGGTTATGTTTTTCTTTTAGTGTATTGATTTTATTATGTTTAACAGAAAAGTGGTGCTATACCGGATAAACCTGAAAAGAAAGAAATTAAGCCCATTAAAGATGGTAAGGTTACGAAAAAGAAGTTTAAAGCGAGAGGTTTGGTTTATTTATCGCATATCCCACATGGATTTTACGAGGTTAGTATACCTACTTTGCTACACCATAAATCTGTTATTTGTATATTATCCTTTTTATTAAATAACGCATAGTAAATGTATGAGAATCCTTTATTATGCATGGTACCTTTAATAAATAAACCAGTGTTTTAATTGCACTTCGGGAAGCGCCCTTTGATGTTACCGTAAACAAATACATACATTTGAAGCATTTAGATACCAAAATTTTTTTTCAAATAGAAGTGGGAAAAGGGAATGAGCACCCTTTTGCGGTAACCATCTCTTAAAAATGCATATTTTTTTTTAATTGAAATTCCCATCAAAACTAGCAAATCTGCATTCGAAGGCAATTTATTACTGGTGAAACCTGATTTTAGAACAAATGTTTTTCCTAGACAACTCGATTAAGCTAAGCCTTGCAAGATGAAAAAGATGTTTGCAGCTTTTTATTTTTTAAGAAACGTTACCCCCACACTAGGATTTTCTCCTGTGTCGTGGAGGCAGTTTACAAACATAATTGCACAAGGACAAACATCCAGACCCGGAACAATTATTTGTAGGCTATACTTGTTCCGTGCGGGATTCGAAACCGCGGCCCCCAGTGCAACAACTGATTGCTATGCCACGGAGCCGTCTATAGTCTTGAACTTGAATGAGCTGCACCTGAACTCACTGTCACTGGTATTACCTTTTCCGAACAGGATGGTTTCTATGCACTTGGCATGTTTCTGATGTAGTTATGCTAGCTTGTGAAAAACCAGTGAAGCCAAGAAAAAATCTACTGTTCTTAAATTAATTGGAAATTAATGTTTTATTTAATATCAAATACTTTTATTTTTACTACATAATCCTGGTCAAAAGGGATTTTAACTAATAGCCTTGGTTTCAAAATTATTTCTGACTGGGAAATTGTTTTAATAGTAATATGTATGTTTTATAGCTAATGCAATATTAGTTGAATGAATCTAGTTTTATGAATTTTGTGTTGTTTTATTAGATTATTTTATATTCTCGATGTTTCGAGTACTTTACATCACCCATGGTTAGAGAGGACTAGAGGTGTTCAACCTCCCAATGTTGTACTTAAGCATGGCTACTTTTAGTTAAAAATTATTCATTCTTTATCTTGAAGTCTTGCAGTAATACCTTTGGATTAGGATTTAATTTTATAAAGTATTAACCAATGGTAACGCCCAACCATCCTCTCTATTGGAATTAGGTTGCAATAAAATCTATTAAACTAGTTTTATTCAATGTGTAGTGTTCACATAAACAAAACAATATTAGTTAAATTTTAGTTTTAATTTCAAAGTACAGAAATAAGATTATTTGATTTAAAACCCCAACACAACTTTCTATAAAACAAAAAACATAACATGTCAAATGTGTAATTTTATGAAATGATAATGAATTTACCTAATTTTGTTTTTAATTTTCTCAAAAACTAAGTTTCTGAGCACTGGCATTTTATATACATAAGTTAAAAAAAGTAGATATTTCAAACAGTTGTCATTTGAAAGTATTAACTTTCTTAAATTAAAAAAAAACCTTTCTTAAATTCTAAAGTTGAGCCCATTTAATAAAGGTGACCTTAAGAACGAGATGAAAACCATAAGAAAGTGTTTACATTCCTTATTCTCTCCTTCCATCCAATTCCATCCTTGTGTCCTATTGGAAAAATTGACTTGTGATATTTAATAATATTTCCCACCCTCTTATATCTTTTTGAAGACATGCTTCTTTGTTAGTCCTTCATTGTGAACTGGTGCAGATGGACCCCTTCCATAGTAGGGAAGGTTGTGCAATAATCTACATATACACTTTTGATCCTTGTTATTGGCCTGGATATGCTGTATCTAGGTATCGTACATCTATACCATCTTCAAAGGCCATGTGTGGACCTTACTGTAAACACACCTTATAACACCTATGGGACAATATAAGCAGCATTTTCTTATGTCGACAGCCACACAGCTAAATGAACATTATCATGGTAGAGCTACACTGCAGTTATACTATGTTTTCAGCACGAATGGGTCAGCTCAACTGAAGTAGAACCACAGTCTTACTGAATTCCAGTGTAAAATTACAGATTAATGTAGCTGTTTTGTAGGGTGAGTCTAGAGAACTGGAGATCGTTTTTACTGGTAGTAAGATGTTCTGTCTTCAGGGTTGACAACTCATTTACATTTGAAACATTATTTCAAGATTGATGTAGGGTGTGATGGGCCACAGCATCCACTTACTATCAGGTGGATTGTGTGCTCGTTTGTCACTTTTATTCTATAAATTATATATTTGTCATTTTTTTTCTATAAAAAGTCATTAATCATCATCATTGTAGCCTATTAAAAGTCCACTGCTGAACATAAAAAATAGATTGCCTTGCAAATATTCCCCATATTGGCAATAGTTGTTGCGCTTAGTAGGGGGGTTGTTTTTTTATTATTGTTACTATTTTCGTTTCGTTTTGTCACTATGATACAGGATAATATGGGGATGTAGATTATCTTACACTACCACTACACAGCAAACAGCATTATTACAACATATTGATGACATTGCTCAGGACAAAATAATATTTGAAGTAAAATAAAATAATTGCCTTTACTGAGGAGGTTTGAAGCTTTTAAAGGAATAATTTAAAATTAAAAATTTTGTACAACCGACTTAACATAAATTATTAAGAATAACTCAAAAACTATTCCTCAAACCTTGATCTAATTTATATTGGACGGTCTGTGAAATACCAGCTTTCAAATAAAAATTATTGGCATTAGTACAACCAGAAAAAGTTATGAGGTAACACACATAAAAAAAACATACAGTCGAATTGAGTACCTCCTCCTGTTTCCATTGGTAGCCAAAGTCGGTAGAAAATAGTCCATTTTCTATATTATATTACTATTGGAATACTTAACACATGTCCTCAAGATTTTCTTAATTTTTCAAGACATGTGGGTTTCCTCATAGGAAAGGTGATCAATATATATTTGTAATAAACATAAATGTATAATTTGCATTAATTCTGATTCCAGCATCAAATGACTCAGTACTTCAAACAGTTTGGTGTTGTGACTAATGCCAGAGTGATCAGATCCAAACACACTGGTCGCTCTAAAGGTCATGCTTTTGTTGAATTCAAAGACACAGCTGTTGCTCAAATTGTTGCTGAAACCATGAATAATTACCTAATGGGGAAAAGATTAATTAAAGGTAATATATTACACATTTTTCCATTACACACCTGGAATGCAAGCTGTGCTTACTTTTAAATTCACCTTAAGGACCTCTTTAACTGTAGCTTTAAGAAAAAAATTAAAAAAAGTAAGTAATTGCTACTAATTTCACCTAAAGTTTTATGATGTCCAATATACATCCATTTGGACCGAATACGACATTAGTCATTATAAGTCGTCCATTTAAGATCATAAAAGGTATTTCTTAAAGTTCTTAATTAATTTTTAATCAAGAAACCAATTACTGTTATATTAGTAAATATTTTAATTTACATCATTAAATGTTTTTATATAGATTATAAGACCTGCTGCATTTTAAAACTGCTTAAGAACCCTATTTGAATATATTTAAATTGCAATGTGGGGAGCTATCGGTAAATGAAAGACTCATGATAATGGTTGAAATGTTAGACTCAGACTAGTCAAATCCTAGACTAGCTAAACTACACTGCCTTTATTAAAAATATTTCAGTTCTTTTATACTTAATTCTAATAAAGAAAGTAGTGACCGACCGACGATTCGGTTTCGGCAAAAGAATCTAGTTTCGGTAATAGTTTCGGTTTCGGCAAAAAATCTGCCAAACCTTCGGAGGCGCCGAAACTTAGTGTTCGTGGATTATCGTGCGTCGTTCGGATGAGTTCGTGACTCGTGTATTATTCATAATTATACAAAAATAGAAAATTTTATTCAATATAGATTATAAATAATACTTATTGAAAGTCACTCTTTTGTTTAATTACCACTGGTTCAAAAAGAAACCTCTGTTGTTGGAAGAACCAGCAAGAAACCCAGCGGGACTTTTTCTTTAAATAACAGTTTACAATCAGAGGCGTAGCGTGGACTAATATATACGTGGGCGAAGTTGCATCAGCGAGGCCCCTTTTCTTTCATTCCAAGGATCTACCCAATCGAGCTGTCCTACCAAACATGCTTTGACACGACATACCTACTCATATCTATTAATTCCTGACAAGTCTCGTATTCCGTCAATATAACAGTCGCGGTCTTTGAAGGTAGTTACAACGGCCTCGTAGTCACACTTAAGAGGAGGCTTCTGGCGAGGCCCCAAACAAACACACTTAAATTTGTGACTTTCTTTTTCGAGCGTAAAAGTGATCAAATTAATTAGTCATCTGTGGTAAAGTCTGGGGGCATCGCATTTTAGGAGGCCTCGCGAGGCCCCTTTAATCGCGAGGCCGTGGGCGAGGGCCCACTTCGTCCACGCCTAGCTACTGCCTGCTTACAATCATGTATGTAACACAATTAACGACACAAAACAAATTAGAAATAGCTTGGTAGTGATCACCTCATTCCCAGGGATTATCATCCATAAATTCCGTAATATTATAACCCTTTTTTACAGGATAGGGTGACAAACGAGCACACAGTCCACCTCATGGTAAGTGGTTGCTGTGGCTCATAGACATCTACTTCTATCTTCGTTTGCGAATTAAAATGCAGATGCGTTGTCACCCGTGAGGACTAAGATGGAATGCCTCTTTTCCAGTAAAAAAGGTATCCGGTTCTCTACACTCATCATACGAAACAAAGCAGTGTTAAGCTGCTATTTTATGCTGCTATTCTGTGAGAGCGTGGTCCTACCCCGGTCGAGCCGACCCATTCGTGCTACAACCAGGGCTCGGAAACCGGTTCAAATTCTAAACCGGTTTCGGTCATTGACGCCAAAACCGGTTTTTGCGGAATACCGGTTTTTCACAATTCTGGTTTAGGTAGTAAGAATTAACCGGTTAAAACGAAGTTCGGTAATATCCCCCCTCTACCTTACCCCGCTTGCACCCAACTTTGTACGGCTGCCCTCTGTTTAATTCACGAGGTTTTTAGACACATGAACGATATATTCATAGCATCAACGCGACTGCCTTGTAACATACTCCCTCATATTTTTCCATCTTTCAGCAACGATCGTATTATAAATAACAGATGTAAGTTCGGTTTCAATTAATTAAGCGTTATCTTCACTTTAAAATTAAGTTTCGATATAAAGTTTAATTTGATGTTATAATTTAAATTGACTAATTATATTTAACGTTTTCTATTACAATTACGCTATGCGTCTTTATTTCAATGTCATTAGTTGCAGTAATATATCACAAAAAGTGATGAACTTTCTTAACAGAACACGATATTTTTAAAAGTTTATGAAATTATATGTTATAGTATTTTTGTTCTTTTTAGGACTAAAGTGAGGCAGATTATCAGATCTTTTTTAAATTCAGAAGCTCGTGATTAGGACAAACCTTTATCTCTGTCTTTGAAAAAATCAATAATGACCACTTCTGAGGTGTAAAGTTTAATTAGAAGTCATGTCTAAACACGATAAAAAATTGTTTGTTATGTTCAGATAATTTTAACAAAAGAAATTAACATTTTTCCAATTTCACTAATGAGGAATTGGAGCAAATCTTATCATCTTGTATACGTACAAGATGCTACTAAAAATATTAGCTTTTCTAAATAGAGTGCAAGGTAACCACATAGACGAAATTAAATTTACTGATACTGAAATTAATAAAGAAAAATAATTTGAATCTAACAAATCATTATGATTAAATTCGGCTGTACTTTGCTGTCGCCTGTAATACATACACTAAAAATCCTGTCTTTTATTTCAAGTAATTGTTAATAACTCCCAATTAACTAGATCATTGAATTAAAACTAGATTGAATTATAAAAGACAATTATTAAAAGTGCAGCCAAGTTTTCTGACGCCTCAAGATCAAAATAATATAGTAATCACTTTCGAGTTTTTTACAAACTTTCATACTTTACGAATATGAAACTATTCAAATAAATAAAATTGAAGTGTGTTCGTAACGTCAAAATAACAGATTTTTACTAAATATATATAATATAAAAAAATTACAATTTTGTCTGTCTGTTATGTGGTTACTAGCGCGACTGTGGATCATTATTTTGGTCCTGGGTTTGAATCCCGGGTCATGCCAAGTACCGTTATTTATTAGTTTGGGTATAATGAGTGTTCTAGGAAGCATCCTGATAGTCGTATTACAGCCCTCTCAATCAAGCACTTAGATTTTTGGGTTTTCTCGTCGTACGTTTTCTTATAGAAAAGGAGGCAAATGCGGGTCACGTGGTGGTAAGTGACTACTGCCGCCCATGAACAACCGCAACACCAGGGGAATAGCAGGTGCATTGCCGGCCTTTTAGAAATGAGTAAGCTCTTTTTTTGAAGGTCCCTAAGTCGTATTGGTCCGGAAAAATCGCCGGTGCTAAACAATTCAACAGAGTTGTACGAGGAAAAAAACTTTTTTTTTTCTTTAAAAATCTCCTAGTAAAACACACAGTGGTGCCCCGTCAAACATCCAGATGGTGAGGATAATAGTATCGTGAATTTTGACGCGATGTGGGTTCATGAAATATGGCGGCTGAGATTAAACCGAACCTCAGAGCACTCCCCGAGGTAGATGCGATAGAAAATGCAAAGGGATGCAACATCCCTACGCAGTGCCAGTCAATCGAGCCGATCAGAAAGTATTCGGACGTCGACGACTCGAACCGCTCTACGCTGGATGCGGTCAAGTGGTAGGAGCTGACACTGGCGTGCCCCGGCCCAGAGATGAGCGGCCGAATTTGCGCTTTGTAAAGTTGCAAGCGATGTGCCGACATGAAATACTGCGCCGATCTGCTGAGCACGCCAAGCTTTTTAGAGGCCAATTTGGCCTTCCCTTCTAAGTGACCACAAAACTGCACACTATTGGATATGTCGACGCCGAGGATTCGGATGCTAGCTGAGGCTGCAAGGGGAGTGCCTAAAAACTGAGGAGATACGACAAAGGGGTTTTTTTTAGCGGTATACGTGCAAACTTGTGTCTTCTGGGGATGGAACTGGACTAGATTTAACCGCTCTCAATCCGAGACTTTGTTCAGCAAAGAATCGACATCAAACACAAGTTTGTTCCGGTACTCGGAGACGTTTTCCCGGGAAATATTGGCACGGCCGGCTGAGAAATATTGCATCACCAGTGCTGGCATTGTTACCAGTTTGCAACATATCATTGATATGCAGTAGAAACAGCGGTTGTGATAGCACGCAGTCTTGTGGAACATCAGCGTTAATAGGCTTGTAATCAGAGCATGCACCGTCTACTACGACCTTGATGCTCCGATCAGTAAGGAAACTGGTGATCCAATTACACAATTTCTCGGGAAGCCTATAGGAAGGGAGCTTCAAAAGAAGCGTTTTGTGCCAGACCCAATCGAAGGCCTTTGCTATGACCAAATTAACGGCCAATGCCTACCCCTTGAACTCTACTGCCTCCGCTCATCTATGAGTTAGATAGACCAGAAGATCACCAGCTGATCAACCCCGACGAAAAGTGTTTGTAATGGATTCCATTATTTTGGAGAACAAGGAGTTGATGGCGATAAGCCTGTAGTTTAATGGGTCTGAGCGGTCGCCTTTTTTAGGGATCGGGTGAACCAAAGCTGTCTCTGTCTGTCGCTGTTTCGGTCGAAAATCCTGTTTCGGTCGGACACTAAAAGAAAGGTTAAAGTTCACGTTGGTATATAGGTCGGTCTTTAAATTCGTTATTTTTGTACTTAGAGCTTAGCCCGATTGAGACAACACAGATCTTGAACAATCGAGCAATTTTGTATATTTAACTCATTTTTTACCTTTTGTATGAGGTTCGCCCCTTTGAGGCGTAGGCTACGAATTGGTTACTTACCTACTTGGTTACCTATGGGAACCAACCAACCATTTTCAATATTGTGTGATTTGTATGTTTGATACATCTTTTTCGTTTTACAGCTGTGTACATTCCACCTAAAGATCAACGTCGAAATGCTAGAAGAAAGAATTGGAATGCCCAAAATAATCTAGGAAATAAAATAAGATTGAACATGAAAAAGGTATTATGGCATATAATGACTTGTTATTTAAAATATTTCATATTTGTTAATATTAAGTGTAGCAATGTTCTTAGAAATAAAATAAATTGTATTGACAATGTCAAAATAATTTTCTGCTTGAAAAACTAATAAGCATACTACACAAACTAATTAAACATAACATAACATAAACACTCACGCCTGTCACCCAGAGGGGTAGGCAGAGACTACGGACTTCCATTTGGCGCGATCCTGACACACCTCTCTCGCCTCTTTTACATCCATATATCTACGCATACACGCTCGTCGGTTAAGGGTACTCCTAATCTGGCCCATTTTTAATGTATCGCCGATTTGGTCGATAAACCTTCGTCTAGGGCGTCCCTTCCCGACCCTGCCGTTCACTTCTGCAACATAAATTTGCTTTGTCACTCTTTCCTCGTTCATTCTTTCTACATGACCAAACCACCGAAGCATTCCTTTCTTAATCCTTGTCACAACGTCATCTTGCAAACCACACCACACTATTTCTCACCCTGTCATTCAGATTCAGCCATAGCATACTCCTTAAGGACCGCATTTCTACAGCATTTATTCTACTCTTACAAACTAATTGTAGGCAAATATTTTGGAAGCCATACACTATAAACAATGAAACTCGATAAATCGAGTGAACTAAACGTAGCACAAGATTGTGATTTGATTTTTTGTAGTATAATATTTATTATTAATTTCAGGCCTACAATGCTGATAAGAGTGAAAAGGAAGACCTAAAAATAGCAAGTAAACTATTGGCCAAGTAATTATTTTGTTGTTTCTATAGTAAATTTATTTCTAAATAAATTTTGACCGTGTAGTGGAGGTATCGTGAACACTACGCATATCCACGGGTATCGTAAGACGCGACAGAGGGTAACAAATCAGGACCCTATCTTCTGGTTCCTGCAGCACCTTCCTAATACAACTAGAAAATAAATAAAACTGGGGTTACCAACCCACCTGCCAAGTGTGGGGTTATTTTTTTATATATATCCTATTTATGAGGCAATATATAGAGAGGTCTACATGGACCGGCACACAGAAAGTGGACTTTCATAGGCTGTAATAAATTAATTGATAGTAAATGAAATATAACAGTGTATTTTTTATTTAATTTGCAAAATAAATATTTTTTAATGTTGCAGTTTATCAAATACAAAGAAAAAGCTTAAAGAATTAGGCATAGATTATGACTTCTTTATACCTGTAGATATTCCAGAAGGTTTGTCAAATAAAGGGCTTGTAAAGGAAGAAAAGGATGAAGGTATTTATATATAAACATATTTTAAAATATATGGATTTACTTTGCTTAAATACATGTAAATCAGGTGTTCCGAATTTCGATGTCGCACCAGGAATGGGGGATATGCCAGGTGACTTTAGAAAAGTGTTGCATATATAGATTTTTTTTCAAAAAGACTTCTTAATTATCTCTGCTAATGGCATAATTATTTTATAAAAGTAGTAGTAGTTATATTTGGTAGCATGTAAATTGGTCGTCACACGAACATGTGTATGTAAATTGGTAGTGACAACTTCTGCATATAGGACACTAGTTGGCCAATTTCGAAATTTACAAAAGAGGTCAAAATTTTAATTTAATTTTATTTTATTATTTACGATTTCAGATGAAAATAATGTTGATGAAAAACCTAAAAAGAAAGAAGCTGTTAAAAGATCCACTGAAATTAATGAGACAACAGATGAAAATATTGATGAGACAGAGAATAAACAAGATGGACAAAAAGCGAAAAAGAAGCAAAGAAAGCAGAAGAAATTAAATAAAACTAATGACACAACCAATGACAAGAAATTAGATTCTATAGCAAGCAAATCTAATTCTCATACAGAAAATTCAAAACAGATTCAAAAAAAGATAGATAGTAAGAAAAATAAAACAGTTGACGAGGTAGATCCTGAAGGTAATAAACATACTCAGAAACAAAAGCAACAGAAGTTAAAAGCGGCTGGTGTTAAGCCACCTGAAGACTTCATCAAACTTGGCGAAAGGGAAGAAGATAGCGACAGTTCCTACCAGTTTGACTCTGATGAATATGAGAATATGATAAATAATGAGGATGAAGATTCTTCAAATGCTTCCACTGATAATGACGGGGACTCTAATGAAGAATTAGATATAAGTGAAAGGTTTGTTGTTGTTAACTTTAACACCATTCTAACTAATCCAATTAGAGAAACAAATTCGAGGAAATAAAAATAGAAACAACTAAGCAAAAAAATTTTTTTGGGTTGCATCCTTTTTCCATAACTATGTGCATATTATGTTGCTTTCATAACTTTATTTTCTCATTTACAGCAAAGACCTTCCTGCAAAGAGTAAAAATAAAGGAAAACAAGTGATGGTACAGTCAGTAGAACCAAGGAAGCCAAAAGCAAAGCCAAAGCAAGAATCGAAACAGAAACAGCAACAGGCAAAGAGAAAGAAGCCTGAAAGTAAGTAAAGATTAATTATTGTAAACGTTATTTTTAAGTTATATTAAGTACTAGCAACCTGTCCCTGTGTGTGTGCTTCACCTGGTTGGTGTCTATTAATGTCATCATTGAGATTTAAGATAGTAAATGATCATTGATGATAATTTTTCGTTTATTTCGAAAAAAACTTTATATTTCTCCAATATAATATATCCTAGATCAGTCTTGGTATTGCTAGATAGACAAAAATTTTACTCATAACCCCCTTCATCTCAAAACAAGGGAGTTATTTCGATATTACAGACATGCACTTTAATTTTATTTGCATGTATTTACTTATCTCAGATTCTCATCTCCAGCCTTGGAGTGGTTCTCATCCTATCTTCTCGGTCGTCAGCAGCTGCTTAGATCGGGGAGCATTTTCTGCTTGGGCTGATACATATATCAGTATACAATATATGTCTAGTAATTTTACTTGTTTAATTCTCTCAGGGTTGATTGGTAGAAAATGCAATAAGTCCACCCATTGTAATCCTTAGATTAAGGTGTAACACAATAAAGATTAAGTAAATAAATATTTCACTACCCATGATCTAAGACATGTTGTATCATAGGGTTGGTTAAAAAGAGTGATTGTCTCTATGGTAAACTTTAGCAATATAAGTCGAAAGTTGTCGCCTTAGTTGAAACGAGAAAGTATATAAATAAGAATGATATTAGGAAATTGTGTAGACTTGTTGTGATTGAAAAGTTGTGGATGCCTATGCAGGGCGTCATATGTATACCTATCATTAATGTACTTTACGTATCTTAAATTTGTAATGTGACATACAATAAACAATTTGAATTACTTACAAAACAAAACTTGATACAATTTCAGAAGATGCTGTGCAGTCCAAGAAACCGAAGTTTGAGAAGCAAAATAGTAAGAAGCTTCCCAATAAACAAATGAAGAAAAAATAAAATATATCTTTATTAATTCATGTTTTATTACTAAACTTCAATGTGTTTCATTAACCCTTATAAAAATCCTTTGCTTGGGATTGGCGTTTATAATGCTATTTCCATACAACCATTCTTATCTTCATTCCATTATTATGCAAGACACTTGTCGGTTGGTGTGTGCTCAATTTATGTCCCCGAGAAATATTGGCACGGCCAGTGTAAAAAGCATCACTTGTGCTGTCGTCCACATAGCGATGAATGTTACTGGTTTGCAATATATCATTGATATGCCGAAGGAACAGCGTAGGCACATAGCCTTGTGGAACACCAGCATTGGCAGACTTGTAATCGGAGCATGCACTGTCTACTACGACTTTGATGCTCCGATCAGCAAGGAAACTTGCACAATTTCTCACCTGTACTAATGGGTGTCACTTAGGGCTCGATTTTCGGCCCATTCCTATTTCTAATGTATATTATGACTTACCTAGGGGATAATCATGATCTAGTATTATTTGCTGATGATACTTCCTTGATTTTTAAACTTAAACGTCAATTATTTAAATGTGTCGAAGTGAATAATGCTATATCAAAATTAGTGCATTGGTGTAACATTAATAATCTACATTTAAACGGAAATACCTAAAACTAAATATATTAAATTTACCACATCGAATGTTAAAAATCTGAACATCGAACACGTGGTAAATCAGCACTTAAAATTGCAATTAACAATTTCATTGGTGCCGGCGGGGATCAGAACCCGGGTTGCTCGCGTACTGTGAAATTTACAGCGAGCGCTATCCATCTGAGCTACTACGGCTAGTTTCTCGCCAATTCTGCCGATGTGCCCTGACCTTGCCTTGGCAATGACACTTTTGAAGGACCTAGAGGCGGAATTATACTTCTTTTTAAGAGCGCTAGTGTTTACATCTCGGGACGTTGATGCGCCAGCCCAGGTCTGGTAGCACTCCTGCTCCTGCACCACAGAAGATGGAATAAAAAGTTCCATACCCTGAAGTCCAGACACGTGGTCTGACAGCAGTCAGGTTGGTCAGCGACGGAATCAGCAACAACGTTTGGATCGTCCAGCGAGAAGTAAATCTGCCCCCAAGGGTAGTATGCAAAAAAAAGACTGCATTGGGAAATCGGCCGACCTATAGTGCTAAACACGGTGGCAGCCTGCAGACCGCGATGTTAGCGTGAGTAGCACCACACTCCGATCTAGACAATGGTCCGAGGATCAAGAGGGGCGTCGACGGAGACCTGATATCCGTCTGGATGAGAGGTCAGCAGAAGATTCAACGGAGACGGTGCATGATTCTCTACATCTGGAATCCGCGTAGGCGAACTAGGTAACCAGTTGAGTCAGACCATAAACCAAGGCAAAGCCATAAACAGATCTCCCCGAATGATCGGTTAAACGTGAATCGAGCCATTTGGCGTGGTGGGCGTTAAAATTGCCAAGGTACACGATCTCTGCGGATGGGATCTGTTGTAGCAAGGAATCTGTAGCCATTTGGACGTGGTCGATGAATCGGTCTGTGTCGGCATTACCGCTATGGGACCTATAGAGACACCCGTAGATACGCGGATGGTCGTCGTGTACGCGTAGCCAAAGAATGGACAGGTCCGAACCTTCAAGACTGCCAAGGCATCGAGAACAGATGTCCTCTCTGACATACACGCAAACTCCAGCCCGAGGCACAAAGGAGTGCTCCAATTTGTACCCCGGGTAGGAGATACGAAATATCAGCCGGAGAGAAAACCTGCGTCTCGGTCAGAAAGAGCAAGGCCGGCTTCGCCGTCTCGAGATGGTAGTGGACGGCGTTTAGGTTCGAGTGAAGTCCCCTTATGTTGCAGAAATCCACGAATAGCGTGACCGAGGTCGCCTTGGTCTTGTTGCTCAGCTTGCCCCTAACAGTTTTTGTCTTGAGTGGAATTTCGCTCACACCAGAATACGCAGCAAGAACCCACGCTCAGGAGTGGCAAAGCTTGGTCGTGGATGCTCAGCGGCGGGGGATTCTCTATTACCAGGGCTGTTGGTACCCTCCTGGAGTAGTATCTCATTTAATTCCGCTACGGTTGTGGTACCACCCCGGTTCGAGCCGACCCATACGTGCAACATGCGGTGTGGCGCGTAACTCTACCACTGTTAAACGGCTGTCATAAGCTGTAACAGAGCCTTTTATACCTAAAATCCGGCTTGGTACCAGCCTATTACCGATCTCTGCTGGCTCTATACCTGTCTAGGCAGCAGCGAATCAACTGTGTTCCTTAAGCCGATATTACACGGATCAACCAGATTGAAATAATTTAATTGAAAAACATTGAACATAGCACATTGAACGGCTTTACCAATGTACACGTAAATCTTTTAACATGCGCAATGAGATGTTGCGCCAACTCGTACGTGCGGGAATTTCGATGTACTGCTATTGTTACTATTTAATAAATGAATTGCATAATTAAAAAACAGAAAATCTTGGCGTTGGTGGCTTTGGTCGTGGATTTCGAGAAGGATAACTAAAGGAGCCTTAAGCACCTTATTAGTAGAATTGGCAGAATATCCAAATTCTTATTTGAACCATTTGCGAATGACAGAATGTGAATATAATGAACTTCTTAAACCCCATTTTCACGCCACTTGAAAACCATTTTCGAAATTTCCGCAAAATAAGTGCCGTGCGGTGCGCGCAATGAGTCATCGTTCAATCTTCATGTATACACGTTTCAACCGCATTGAACAAGCATTGAAAGCGTTCGGTGAATTTAAGCTTTTCCGCGACCCCACCTCGGCTGCAGCGGTAGGGGGGAGAGGACACCCCTTTCACCGCAGCCCACCGACACACATCCGAAGTGGGCTCGCCAAGCCTACTCGGAGTGGCCACCTCGGGCCGGCCCTACACCACGGGTGGTGTAGGGCCGGCGCGATGAACAAAGAGGCCCGCCTCTTTGTTCACCGCGGGAGACCAAGCCACAGCTACTAAGCCCCCCCGCTACGACAAGGCGGGAACCCGTTCGGGGGTTGGCTACGTCTCTACGGTCCGCCGTTGGCCCGTACATAGAGCAGTGTCGGCTGCCAAAACACGGTGCACATTCTGTTCTCAAAACACAGCGTATCTGTTTTAATTATAATATATTAAAAAAATATTGTGATTTAAAACAGAATCCTACTATCAGTAGTTTGTGATTTGCCTAAACGTCTTCAAGGCTAATAATATAATCAATAGACTTTTGTTACACTAAAACAGTGCGATTTACCATCTACCACTTACCACTTATCATCACTAACCACCAAGTGGGATTGTAGTCATGCACTTACTTATAATAAGTAAAAAATAATAATTACCAATGCTGATCGTTGAACGCAGTTTTAATAAAAGCCAAAATCACAGGTACATTTATTGGCTTTATTTTTTAAAACATCTAAACACACATAGAAAAGTTTTATACCAAAACATAGTGGACACAAGTGGACCTATTTCACATCTCTGATTGGTGATCACTGCTAAGGATACTACTTATAATAAAATTGCTTAGTCCATAAGAATATAAATGATTGAATGTACATAGTACATAAATTTTACTTATTTTATATAAATTCATCGTTCTTGGGGATTATTTTGTACATTGACATAATATTCTTTCAATACTTTTTTTAATTTTTTAAGTTACGAAAGTGAAAAGACAGTTGTCAAGTACACAACAAATATAAATAATATACAATATACAAAATTTAAATATCCAAGTACAGACAAATTACTATATCTGTTAATATCTCCAATTTATTCAACTTCCTCATTAAGTCTCACAATAACTGGTCTTTCATCCTCTTCATCTGCATCTAAACCTGTGAAGTCCCACTGAAGTTTCTCTGTCAAATTCTCTTTAAATCTCTCAATCATTGTTAGCAATCTTCCATCAACCTTGCTTACGTATGCAGTACGAAAGAATTCGCGCAGCTTCTTGTAAACTAAGTTCTTATTCATGACAATATCTGCGAGAAAATCCTCTGGCATCTCCTCAATCTGAATTTCAATGGTTCTGATGAAGTGGAAGAAAACGCTTCTATATTTATGAATGGCGTCGTCGCACGAACATAGCAGTATCACAAGATTCTTCCAGTGTTCAAATGCTTCCAAGGAATGCCCAATAAGAAAGCATAAATAGGCGAATTGCAGCTCTCCTATGATGTGGAGGGGTCTGAAATGACATAATGTATGTTACTTTAGATTGGTAAATTGGATGTGGGTATCTTTATATTTAAGAGAATTAGGTATTATGTATCCAAAATTTAATTCGTTCTCGATTGCACACACGAGTGGTATGGGGTTGTAAATGCTTCAGGAGTTACATGATCACATTTGGTTTTAAAAATATCTATCACTGGAAATTTAATATAATAAATAGGGTTAGGATAGGATTTATTTAGATTCTAATTATTGGTTCCTTTAACAAATGTAAATGTATATAATTTACATACTCATCATGCTGTGCAATCATCAATTCCAAAGTGTAGGACTGGTCTAGGTAATGCTTTGTTATTTCTTCTGGTGTTGAACCAGGGGGAAATTTGTCACGCGGAATTTCTGTGAACCTCATAGCTGTACCTGAAATTATAAAAAAATTACGTCAAACAGGGACTTTTTAGTAAAGTAATAAAAGTATGTAGTCTTGTATGATCTCAGGTATTTGCAGTATGAAACCTACTTGCTCATATAAACCAATAAACTATTCATGTCTTACTAACTTGTGTTGAGTCATTATAGGTTTATGTAAGACCTCAAATAGGCATGGCTTGCATTCTTTTACAAATGATTAAACATATATATAATATGATATCTAAGCATACCTATCGTTTCTTTTCGTTTTTGTACAGAATAAGGGTGACAAACAAGCACACAGTCCTCCCGATGGTAAGTGTATGCTGTGACCTATAAATGTCTACATCTATCCTCAATTAAGAATCAAAACGCAGATGCATTGTCACCCCTGAAGACTAGTTTAGTTTCCAGTAAAAAGAGTATCCAGCTCTCTACATATGATATACAGTAGCATATTTTAAGCTGGAATTGTGGGAGAGTGTGGTCCTTTCCTGGTCGAGCCGACCCTATTATACTACCATCACAATATAGTTGTAGCATAACTCTACCATGTTGTAAACTTTACCAAATAGGTACAAACATTATAACAAATTAATATAACAAGAAATTTAAAAAAGAATTTCTCGTATCACCAAAATGGACTTTTGTCTAACTTCAATTTCATCATCATCATCATCACAGCCCTTCACAAGTCCACTCCTAAACATAAGCCTCCCCCAAGAAACGCCACCTTTGACTTCCTGTATGTCTTACCAGGATGTTATTCCTTCTAGTGGTGGGACGCCCTACGCTTCGCCTGCTGGTACGAGGCTGCCACTCAAGAATATACTTGATTTAATACTGCTAAATCAAAATAAAGTCGGACAAAAGTTTGTGTTAATAATTTTCATTGGACTCAGCAGAGGCATAGAGGACCAATTACAATAAAAATATTAGTAAATTTATTAATTAAAGCCTCTAAAAAGTCCACTACTGAACAATCACTGGTATTGGGCATAGGCCTCCCCCATAAATTGCCTCATAGGAGGCATATTTGCCATATCTCAAGCTCTTCTAGTTTGCCCAATTGTCTTATTTAAGGTCAAATTCAATATTTTGATACACAGAACCTGGAGCCGGTTTTAAAACTGGTAACATAGCATCTTCTCTTTCTTCTCTTGTAATTCTCTTTGCTCTTTTAGCATCTGACTGTCCACATGTAGATTCCTCGGCCGCATCCTCTTCTTTTGTAGAAATTTCTTCAGAATCTTCTCCTCCCATAGAACCTTCAGTAGACTTTTTTCCTCTTGGCCTTTCTGCATCAGTCATAGAAAGTAGCTCTACTGAAGCTCTGATTAAACCATTTTCTGGTGAAAGCTTTGCAGCTAGTTCCGCTGGAATTTGAATAAAAGATAATTGTAATAATTAGCTTATTATTGTATTGTTTTCTTTAAATTATCTTCTAATTTTATGTAGTATCAAAAACTTCATCTTTTCTAATATCTTTTAAATCCAAAACTGTTAATAGAATAATAGACTATTTTGTATTACAGATTATGAATATTTACTTTAAAAAATTTTTTTTGATGTAAATTTCTATTCTAATTTGCATAGAATTTAGAAAATAAGTGTTTCAAGTAACATTAAGAAATGTATGACAACAACAAAAAACATATATACACATGTTAAACAAAGTTTTATACCACTTTATAAAATTCTATCATCTAAAAGCAATAAAGTTTAATTATATTCTCGGAACAGGTTTTGTAAAATACAGTTTATTTAACAGTTTAGTAAATAGTTTGCAACATAATACTTACTTAGAGGTAGTATCATATGTGTAATAAAACTAAATACTAATAGTGAGTCAACTCCACGACTAGACGGAACAACGATGAGGTGCGGTATCGGTATGAAGGAGAGCGGAGTCCCTCCCTTGCCCGTGACATCTGCAGTAGTACTGGTTGGTTTCGCTTGCGTACCAGTTCGCCCGTTTAGGGGTGTCTCATACACGGAACCCCCCAACAACACAATGTTATTCAGTATCATTTTGAAATATTGGGAAAAAGAGTGTATGATGCCTTAAGTAAAATTGAATTCTTATAACTATGTGATTGTTTTCCATCACAATTTTTTATTAAATTATATGTAAGGATGAGAATTTGTTATAACATCAAATCCAATAAAAGACAATTAAAAAAACCCAAAAAAAAAAGGTCATTTGTCAGTTACACATCTGTAACGAGGCAGTGCGGCGTACGTTGAAATAAACAGAACCCACATATAATTTCAACCTGTTTTATTCAATCTTTTCAACCCCCTCCAATATTTTAAGTGGAATACCTAAGAAACTGTTATATAGTTAAAATATAGTAAAATTTGGTAGAGACCAACACAAGCCTTTGTTTCCATCACGACAAATCAGGTGAAGCTGCTGAATGCAACTAGTTTTGTAAAGTAATAATTAGTTTGTATCTTTATATAGAAATTAATAATTACGAGGAATACAGGAAAAATATAATGTTATAATATTTTTATCTAAGGAAATGTTTTTGTGACAACCTTTGCTTTTTTTAGCAACTAAATGTTGAGACAGACTTGTAGGTAATTTGAGGTGTAACAGGAGTTGACCCACTATTAGTATTTATTACACATATGGTAGTATACAGATGAAGCAATTAAACAACACTACATATTATGGAGATATAAAGGTATATAATAAAGCACTTACATAGATAAGGGATAGGGTACATATAAAATAGACACTATTATTTTACCTGTAATTTGAGAACACAAAAGCCTCCATTTCTGCCATATGTCATAAGGATATGGTGCAAGATGTCTGTCTAAATTAAGCAAGTTATCTTTCAGTCGCTGAATACTTTCTTCACTGATTTCTTCTTTGCTTATATCTTCTGATTTCTTATCCCACATTTTAACAATGAAGTCTTTTTTGTGGAAGTATTGCATGAATCCCGACCTACAACGATAAGTTTTATGTGTTTAATTTTAGTGTTTTTTTTAAGTTATTTTTTTAAAGTGTGTAGTGGTGGTGTAAGTATAGCCATTAAATTTTTATTAATAAATGAATTTTAATTATTTAAGTACCTTAAATTTTCGTTCATTTAGTTTATCACCATTTATCAACGAGGCGCAATCGAAGAAAACATTAATTTTTATTAAGAGATTATATTAAAATTATAAGAATACATAATACTAACGCACCTGGGTGAGACGTCTCCAGTACCTTTACTAACAGCAGAATAATGTATATAATGTAACCCGGGTGGAATCATTTTTATTCCCCGAAAATCTTCCTCGGTATTCCAACATTGCATGTCAATACCAAATTGTGTTTCTTCAGGTACACCCAGGAACACGAATGTTCCTCCTTCAACAAGAAGCTTCTTCGCAGTTTCTTGGTCCATATTGTTCTGACAACTTCTGCTTCTGTGCTAGTCTATATCATAGATAAATAAATATGTAGCAGATCTATATTTTGGGATAAAAATGCAACAAATCAATATGTTTACATCGCTGTATGCAGGTCAGGTCAGCGCGGTGACAGTGACAGTCAGCGTTGCCAACACCAATTTGTCAAATTCCCCGAAAATCCATGTCAATTCCCCAATTTAGGGACTAACTTCAACAGATTCCCCACAAATTCCCCTCAATTTTATTTTAAGAAATGAAACCATTTTCAACTAATTTTATAAGATTTATTTTTTAACTAAAATTTTTTCTTTTTAGCGAATTTTTTTCACACTCTATATTTTTGTAACAAGCATTTAACTCCATGGAGTATTTTTAATTCCTTCCCTTGCTGCCATTAAAAACTACCCCAGTATCTACATTTATATGCATGCGGTCCTCTACTTTAAAATTAAAAAATAAAGAAATGAAAAGCATTAAATGATGCACAAAAAGTGCCGAAATTAATCCGAAAATTAAATGAAGATAATTAAAAAAAGGGAGTCATTTGATATTCAAAAGTAACCTAGCAAAAATGCTAAGATAAGTATTAAGATTTCTTGAAAAAAAGGTTCTGACTTGGCCCGGGCTATCGATTTTCAAAATCCCCGCATTTCCCCGCATAATACCAATCACCAAAAATGCCCCACCAACTTTAAATTCCCCGCAACTTGGAGAATTTCCCACATGTTGGCAACGCTGGTGACAATACATGGACGTCCATGTGACACAGACCCGTGACAGCTTAGTTCCAATTTACGCAATTTGGCTACCATAGCAATTTGTTCTCCGTCTACGCCATTTTAGAGACGCCATATTATGTTAATGTTAAATCAAATTGTCAAAACCAAAATTATCGATATTGATTGCCGCCATTATTTATCCAAACGGAATAGTTATCGAGTTTAGCGCAAGTGTATTTCCCCGCATTTATGTATAGCGTTGAGATCTTGGACGCAAATTTTCCTCCGTTATTTGTGACATAATTTTAAGAACCATATATTTATCTTACTGATAGCCTAAAGTCTCATGCCACGTTGTATTTTAATACACTTTCAAAATGTCCACCACGGCTCCGTGGCGCAGTGGCTTAGCAATTGAGTTGCAGCGCTAAGGGCCGCGGGTTCGAATACCGCACGGAACAAGTATTTGTATGGCCTACAAATAACAGTTCCGGGTCTGTATATTTGTGCAATTTATGTTTGTAAACTGCCCCCACAATACAAGAGAAAATCCTAGTGTGGAGGTTACGTTTTAAAAAAGAAAGAAAAAAAAAGAAAATAATTTTAAAAGCAATTCAGTGTCATTTTTCACTATTCTAAAAGCTTACACTATCCTATTTTTAGGTCCTCGGCACTTGTTGTTTCACTAAAATAAACTAATGATTTAATACGTACCCATAAAAAAAAGTCAAGAGATGTCAATGATCAAATCAGTGGATCTGGGAGGTCAATGGCCTAGCCGCCGCGACCTTTATAAGGTACTCCAAACTCTGTATTTGTAAAGACTTTAACATACTTGAAATAAAGTTCAATTTTCTTTATTTTGTAATGAATGACGGAATTTGTATTAATACAAATAAAACTGTATTTTTAAAAGTCTTAATACCTTGAGTTACGGTCCATTTCAGTTTATTTTGACTGTACAGGTTTATTGTGACTGTAAATTACGTAGTTTCCATTATTTTTGGGATAAAAAAATTACCTATATTAAAATGATAGAAATCGATTCAGTAAACGATTCTGAACAAACTACTTTCAGGATATGCGTTAATTATGTTACGTGTTGTATATGTATACTATAGAGCGGACATTATGAACATTTGCATACAAAAATATTGAGTTCGCACGTGTGTAACGGTCTCTAACTAAACATAGCAAAACTACGCTGAACATTTATTAGGAAAACATTTCAGCTATTCCACAGTAGGTGACGCTAATAAATGTACCGAAGTTAGAAACCCGTTTTAGGAATTTTTCGAATCGACATCAAAGTATCCATAATATTGTTGAAGGTTACTTAGTTTGTAATGTTTTACGATATAATAATAGGGATTATGCATGCTTTCTTATTGTACAAATCTATTTATTATGACTCCTATCACACCAAAAAAATCATTAAAACTTTTTAAGTCATGAATGAAATGAAACGTTATGAAATAATTAATTTCCAATCGCTAAGAATTAATTCAAACAGCAGTCACAATGGTGGCATCTTGGATGACGTCACTAGGTCCATTAGACACTATAATAATAACATATGATTGGAAGGTCGGCGTCGAAGGCACATTCCGAAACGTCAACTGTAATAAGAGAACACCACCATGTTTTTCAAATTCGTTTCTTTTACAAAAATACACTTTAAATCTAATATATTTTAGGAAAGCATTGAATTTAAAAGTCGTCACACGATAAATTACTCTACAAATTCACAAATTTGCGCGTTTACAGCTAAAAAGAACATCTTTGTCGTATCTCCTCAATTTTAGAGCACTTCCTTTATTGCCTCAGCCAAAAGCGGAATCTTCGGCGTCGACATATCGAATGACCTGCAATAGCATGGTCACTTGAAAAAGAAAGTAAATTGGCGTCTTAAAAGCTTGGCGTATACAGTAGAGCGGGACAGTTTTTCATGCTAGCACACCGTTTTTTTTTTATAGGAAAAGGGTAACAAACGAGCACACAGTTCACCTGATGGTAAGTGGTTGCTGTGACCCATAGACATCAACATCTCTCCTCCATTACGAATCAAAATGTAGATGCGTTGTCACCCGTGAGGATTAAGATGGAATGCCTCGTTTCCAGTAAAGAGGGTCTCTGGTTCTCTACACTTACCATAAGAAACACAGCAGCGTTAAGCTGCTATTTTACGCTGGTATTCTGTGAGAGCGTGGTCCCTCCCCGGTCGAGCCGACCCATTCGTGCTGCAACTATTCTACTAATATAGCTGCAGCATGGCTCTACCACGTATAAAACTTTACAAGCGCAAGTTCGGCCTCACATGGAATATTGTTCTCATCTCTGGGCCGGGGCTCCTCAGTGCGAGCTCCATCCACTTGACCGCATAGACAACAGAGCGGCTCAACGTCAATGACCTAGTTGTCTTTAATTAGCTCGATTTACTGGCGCTGCGTAGAGATGTTGCATCCCTTTGCATTTTTTATCGTATTTACCACGGGGAATGCTCTGAGGAGTTGTTCTGATTAATTCCAGCCACCAAATTTCACAAATACACATTGTGACAAAACTTACGTTACCATCCATCATTTGGATGCTTGGCGGTTCACTACCGTGTGATTTAATAGGAGTTTTCTTAGGAATCGTTTACCATTGGCGATTTTTATGGACCGATAGGACTTAGGGACTTTCAAAAAACGAGCTTACTCATTTTCAAAAGGATGGCAACGCATCTGCAATCCTCCTAGTGTTGTAGAATTATATTAAAATTTTAAAAAGAAGGCTATCTTGTTGACCAGTTGTACTGGTTGTACTGGCTGACATAGACGTTTCACGTTAAAACCAACGACCGTGTGCCTCGACATAGGCCCACCCGATTTCTTTATTGGTATGAATACAGTATCGTTTACTGTTTCACCTCTTTAAATATTGTAGATGATTAAATCTGCATCCTGTACGATATTTTTTTTCGATAACACCAATAGACGTTATCAATCACTAACTCAATTGGTGTGTTACTAAATAACAGAGGGCACTTATTACAATAAAGATAAATTTTCTGGAACAATCTACCAGAAACTATGTATATAATATGGGGTAAATGTACATTATACTTGCGATAATAAACCGAAATCATATTCAGTTTTTGCTACATATCGAGACTTATAAAACCTTAATGCGCTATCGGGCATAGTTTCTCTAAAAATATCTTTTAATTTAGGAAAGGAATGCGTTTTGAGCTTTTGATGATGTCACTAAGACTAAATGACACAAATTCGAAATATATCCTATAGGACATAAGTAAGAGGTGACTATTTTGCTGCTGATGTCCGGTCTATTACTACTACTACTTAAATGTCTTTGATTAGAGCGCGCGCGCTCCAACTCACTTACATATAAGTGATAAACACTAGCTGTCCTCTTTTTTCTTTTTATTTTAATCACACTGTCTTTTTTACATAATTTGGCAATGTAGTGAAATGTAAGATGAACGAAATGTGTTTGAATGTGTGCCGTCAAAGTGTTTGGACTTTGGAATACTTGTCGGTGATTTTGTGAGCTTATATGTATTCTGATAAACTTAGGAATGAGGATATCCGCAGTAGAACCAGAGTAACCGACATAGCCCAATGGATTAGTAAGCTGAAGTGGCAATGGGCCGGCCATATAGCTCGAAGAACCGACAACCGATGGGGAAGAAAGGTTCTCGAGTGGCAGCCTCGTACCGGTAGGCGAAGTGTAGGGCGTCCCCCCACGAGATGGAGTGACGACCTGGTAAGACATGCAGGAAGTCGATGGATGCAGGTGGCTCAGGACCGTGCTTTGTGGTATTCTTTGGGGGAGGCCTATGTTCAGCAGTGGACTTGTGAAGGGCTGTAATGATGATGATGATGAATATGTATTCTGTATTGTGACAAGTTAAACGTGGTAGAGCCATGCCGCAGCTATATTAGTAGTACCTATAGTTGTAGCACGAATGGGTCGGCTCGACCGGGGAAGGACCACGCTCTCACAGAATACCAGCGTAAAATAGCGGCTTAACACTGCTGTGTATCGTATGGTGAGTGTAGCGAATCGGAGACCCTTTTTACTGGAAAAGACGCATTCTATCTGCTCACGGGTGACAACGGGTGAATTTTAATCGAGGATGGATGTAGATGTCTATGGGCCACAGCAACCATAACCATAACAAATGAGCACACAGTCCACCATTAGGTGGACTGTGTGCTCGTTTGTCACCCTATCCTATAAAAAGTTATGAATAGGATTAAGAAAGTAAT